GATTATGTAAGATACATTGTTTGATGTCATAGTACCAAGGCTGGCCATCTATTTCTTGCCCAATCTCCATGCAATAAGCGGGGTTTTTATGTACATCAATCATAAGTGGTTGAATTTGATCTTCCTCTGATATTTGCACCATGGAGGCCAAAGTTGCTAAGGCATCTGCAAATTGATTCTTTGATCGAGGCATGTATTCAAAAGAGATAAATCTGAACTTCTTAGTTTGAGAATCAAGGTATTGGTAATAAGGCAATAACTTCATGTCTTTTGTCTTCCATTCTCCCTTGATTTGAAATATGATTAGGGATGAATCTCCATAAACTTCAAGATCCCTAATGTTCATATCAAGAGCTGCTTGTAGACCCAAGATGCAAGCTTCATATTCAGTGATGTTATTGGTGCAGGAAAAATCAAGCTTCACTGCAAATGGAAAATGTTCTCCTTTAGGTGAGACGAGAACTGCCCCCACTCCACTTCCGTTTTGATTAGCAGCTCCATCAAAATACATCTTCCAATTAGAAGTTTCACAATTACTTTCTTCAATTGCCATGATATCCTCATCAGGAAACTCCCAATCAACTGGTTGGTAATCTTCAACTGCATTTTCTGCAAGATGATCTGTAATGACTTGACCTTTTACTGCCTTTTGAGTCATGTAAATAATCTCAAATTCTGATAATAGCATGTGCCATCGAGCAATTCTTCCAGATAAAGAAGGCTTCTCAAATATATATTTGATGGGATCCATTCGAGATATTAGCCATGTAGTATTGGAAAGCATATAATGACGAAGCCTCTTAGCAATCCAAGCCAATGCGCAACATGTCTTCTCTAGAGATGAATATCTACTTTCACAATCATTGAACTTTTTGCTAATATAATAAATGGCCTGCTCCCTTCTGCCAGAATCATCATGTTGAGCCAGAACAGCCCCCATAGAACCTTCCAGCACAGTTATATAGAGAATCAATGGTCTTTCATCCACTGGTGGCACAAGAATTGGTGGACTTTTCAAATACTGCTTAATTTTGTCAAAAGCTTCTTGGCATTGATCATCCCATATACCAGGATTATTCTTTTTTAACAATCGGAAGATTGGATCACAAATAGTTGTCATTTGGGCAATGAATCTACTGATATAGTTCAGCCTACCCAAGAAACTGCGCACCTCTTTCTGTGTTTTTGGTGGAGGCATATCTTCAATAGCTTTGATCTTGGCAGGGTCTATTTCAATTCCTCTTCTACTAACAATAAACCCTAGGAGCTTGCCAGATGTTACCCCAAAAGTGCATTTTGTTGGATTGAGTCTCAGC